GAGGTGATGTCACAAAATATTGCATGTAAAACACTTAGCACAGAGCCTGGCACATAGAAAATACTCATCTATTTGTGCCACCTGTGGGTAGATAAAACTGGCAAATTGCCTTTTTTTTGCGGTACGCGGGCCTCTCACTATTGTGGCCTCTCCCATTGCGGAGCACAGGCGCTCCGGACGCGCAGGCTCAGCGGCCATGGCTCACGGGCCCAGCCGCTCCGCGGCATGTGGGATCTTCCGGGACCGGGGCACGAACCCGTGTCCCCTGCATCGGCAGGTGGACTCTCAACCACTGCGCCACCAGGGAAGCCCGCCCTTTTTTTTTTTTTTTTAGTTTTTTGTTTGTTTTATACTGCAGGTTCTTACTAGTCATCAATTTTATACACATCAGCGTATACATGTCAATCCCAATTGCCCAATTCAGGACACCACCATGCCTTTCTTCTTAAGTACCTGGTAGTAAGAGCAATGTAAGACCACGCTGGGGAATTTCCTGGTGGTCCACTGGTTAGGACTCGGCGCTTTCACTGGCAAGTTGGCCTGGGTTCAGTCCTTGGTTGGGGAACTAAGATCCCACAAGCCATGTGGCAAAGCCAAAAAAAAAAAAAAAAGACCACGCTGGCAGGAACTCTGGGGAGTAGTCTGCTATTGACAGTCAGGATTGATGACTTCATCGTTACAGTCATATTTCAGAAAGCGGGTCAGAGGCCCTTACTAAAGGGTCCCATGAAGGCACTGCAAGGGAGGGCCAAGTATATATACTTTTATACTACACACATATGTTTTACATTATTATTTTTACCCCACTAGTCCTCTTGAAAAAGAAACCAGAACAGATTCCAACAGGCTTTTTAGTCAAAGGGAGACTAATGCTGGGGTCAAGAAAGACCCCTGCCCCTTCAATCCAAATGGGTACACAGGAGAACTGGGAGATGTGGACTGACCCTGAGCAATAGCCACACACCCTTGTAGCAAAGGTAGCACATGAGACCAGCAGAAAGGCTCCTGGGTGGAGAATCAGTACCACATGTAAGCAGAAGCCTGGCAGAGGCAGACTAAAAGCAGCAGGCCCGACATCAATGGGGACAAAGCCCCTTAACGCCAGAGACCAGAGGAAGTGTTAAAACAGTACCAAGTTGTTTAGTTTTTTTCCAGGGAAAGTTATCAGAAATAACTTTTAAGAATTTTTACTGCAGTAATGAAAGAACTTACAGGTCTCAATAATGCAGTTAGGAGGCAGAAGTAATGGTCTAGGTGAATTCAACAATAACAAAATGGTTAATGAAAAATGGCACAGCCCCCGCCCCAATTGTGACAAACCTTCCAGTTAATGTCCTCAATTCATCATTGAGACACCTTGAATGTCCCAGAAGCTTCTGTTAAGAAATCAAAACTGGTGACTCACCAGGATCCAAAGCTGCTTCAGGGAGATAGTGAGATTTCTTCAGGCAGAAAGGATGGGAAAAGAAAATACTAAGAAGTTTCTGAAATCCTAGGGTGTGTTTTGGACATAACGAGGAATTGTGTTTGCCTCTCCATCCCCACTTTCCCTCTAGGCAGGAAAAGGTTCTAAATCCTGGGTGTGGTTCCCCACTCAGAGGGTGAAGCTGCTCTGGAGGGGATTTCTCGTCCTCTTGGCAGGGGGTCCAGGTTAAGTTTGCGAATCCTGCCCCAGCCACTGGTACAAGAGCTAGGTGCCTGGGTTTCTCCGAGCAGCTCTCATCTTCAGGAATGATTTCCAGAACCCAAAACTTCAGTCCTTTCTCAGGCTTGGGCAAAGCCATCGAGTCTGCGCGTCCCTCAGCTTAGCTTCCGGCGGCATCTGGGACAGGGCGCCACGCCCCTAGAACCGCCCGCGTGCCCCACCGGCTGGTCCCATGGAGGACGGTTCCCAAGCCGGCCCAGGAGCAGCAACGGCTAGGGGGTGGTGGCGCTCGGCAGCCGCCTCGCCCCGGCCGCACGCACCTGCCGCGTCTCCCTTCAAGGTCTCCCTCCACCCGCAGTCCCGGGGAACCTACACTCGCACCGCACCCGGTGGCCCGCGGGCACGCGCTCCACGGCTGCGCCGGGGCGCGCCCCCTCCTCAGGCCCACCCTCAGCGCAGGCCCCGCCCCTCCCCGGCTAGACCTGGCATTTCGCCGCCTGCGGGTTACGACTCCGGCGGTTGGGGCGGGCAGCGCGGCGAAGGGTTTCCCTCTCCTTCCACCCAGGAGGTTACGAGCGGTTACCAGCGGCGCGACAATACTCCCCGAAACTTCCCTGTCCGCAGGTGCGCGCGTTAACCCGGGGCCGACTGCGGGGCCGGGCGTCTGGGCCCGCCCTAGTGTTCCCTCAGGCGGCGAGCACAGAGCTGGGCGGGGGTGGGCAAGTGGGAAGGGGCGTCTCACGGTCGGGGAAGGGCGGGCCTAGAAGCCCACGAAAGCTCTTAAGCACGCGAGGCACCTCTTCAATTTTGTGTTAGCTCTGTCTGGCTACAGAGCGGGGAACGGATGGGAGAGGACGAGAAAGAGCGGGAGACTAAGGAGCCGGGTGCAGAGAATGATGCCGCCTGGACCAGGAAACGAGGAGGGAGAAGTGGACACGAGGTGAGACCTTCAGGACGTAGAGCCGACAGGACTTTACGTGGGTCCAGCCCAAAGTCTAAAATCTTAGGATGACCTCCAATGGCACTGAAAATCTGGCCCTTATTTGTCTTTGCTTCTCTTCTCTGCTAGCGGCCCGTACAGCACCCATCCAGGGATCTTGCCGCTTCCGAGGGGAGATGCACTCTCACACCGAACAGGCTGTGCAGACGCTCCCCTTTGCCCGGACTGCCCTTCTCCCTCTTTCCCCCACACTGTAAAGGCCAGCTCAGAAGTCACACTTGCCCGGCTCAGATATGTCCCCTACCACCCAAGCACTCGCAAAGCCCTCTCTGTACTCAGCTCTCATACATCCAACGCTGGTTTGTTCCTATTCCTTTTCTTTGTAATTCTAAACGCCCAACACCACACTCTGTGCCTAGCAACGTGAAATGTGCAAAATCAATGAATACTTTTTTTTTTTTTTTTTGCTGTGCCATGAAGCTTGCGGAATATCCGTTCCCCAACCAGGGATAGAACCCCGGACCGGCAGTGAAAACCTAGAATCCTAACCACTGGGCCACCAGGGAACTCCCTCAATGAATACTTTTGAAAAGGGTGTGACTGCCAGTCATTTATTCTGGGACTTTATGACCATTGGGGTAAAAACAGATGTTTAATGCATTGAAGTAGAGTGCTGTCCAGTATGATCATCTGACATTCCCCCTCAACTTCTTCCACAATCTATTCTACGCTAGGCTTGCGCCACAAATGCTTTTTTTTTAAAAAACATCTTTATTGGAGTGTAATTGCTTCCCAATGGTGTTAATTTCTGCTTTATAACAAAGTGAATCAGCTATACATACACATATAGCCCCATATCTCCTCCCTTTTATGTCTCCCTCACACCCTCCCTATCCCACCCCTCTAGGTGGTCACAAAGCACGAGCTGATCTCCCTGTGCTATGCAGCTGCTTCCCACTAGCTATCTATTTTACATTTGGTAGTGTATGTATGTCAGTTACTCTCTCACTTCATCCCAGCTTACCCTTCCCCCTCCCCGTGTCCTCAAGTCCATCCTCTGTGTCTCTATTCCTGTCCTGCCCCTAGGTTCTTCAGAACCTTTTTGTTTTTTTTTAAGATTCCATATATATGTGTTAGCATACTTTTCTCTTTCTGACTTACTTCACTCTGTATGACAGACTCTAGGTCTATCCACCTCACTACAAATAACTCAATTTGTATGGCTGAGTAATATTCCATTGTATATATGTGCCATATCTTTTTTTTTTTTTTTTGCGGTACGCGGGCCTCTCACTGTTGTGGCCTCTCCCGTTGTGGAGCACAGGCTCCGGACGCGCAGGCTCAGCGGCCATGGCTCACGGGCCCAGCCGCTCCGCGGCATGTGGGATCTTCCCGCACCAGGGCACGAACCCGTGTCCCCTGCATCGGCAGGCGGACTCTCAACCACTGCGCCACCAGGGAAGTCCCCACATCTTCTTTATCCATTCATCTGTTGATGGACACTTAGGTTGCTTCCGTGTCCTGGCTATTGTAAATAGAGCTGCAATGAACATTGTGGTACATGACTCTTTTTGAATTATGGTTTTCTCAGGGTATATGCCCAGGAGTGGGATTGCTGGGTTGTATGGTAGTTCTATTTTTAGTTTTTTAAGGAACCTCCATACTGTTCTCCATAGTGGCTGTATCAATTTACATTCCCACCAACAGTGCAAAAGGGTTCCCTTTTCTCCACACCCTCTCCAGCATTTATTGTTTGTAGATTTTTTGATGATGGCCATTCTGACCAGTGTGAGGTGATACCTCATTGTAGTTCACAAATGCTAATTTTATAAGTAACAAAAATGCTAAGACAATAAGATATAAAATTGTATTTACAATGTAACTTACCTATTTTTTAAAATACATGAAATATACCAAAGTGTTAAGGGAGCCTATCATCAGTTGACAGAATTTGGGTGCTTTTTATCTTTCTTATAAATCTTTTTTATAATCAGCATATGTCATTTCCACAATAAGAAGAAAACAAACACTAAACAGGTGGTAACTCATTTACAAGAGCAGAGTATGTCATACCATTAAATTGAAAACCAAGTCTGTCCTTATCTTCTTAAATAACTAGTCAGCATATATATAGCTTCTTTGTTATATGCTGTGAATACATTTAGACTTTAATGCTTTCCCCACATCCATTTCACCTTAGATAATTTGGGACAATAGTTCATTATTCAAGTCCTTGTCTAAAATAGAAAAAAATATAGATTAATGAACATATTTATACATCAAAAAGCCCCAAATTTATTACTTTCAAATCGTGTATTTTATAAACAGTATAAATGGGCATTGCTGTGCAAAGCGAGGTCAGTTGATAAAAGCAATGACAGTTCACAAGTCTAATTCATGTATCATTACATAACTGCAGAAATCTTTAAACACAATATCTACTTACTACAACCAGAAGTTGAAGGCATATTGAAGGAATCCTTAATATTATGAGGCCTACATTTCAAAAAGCTACCAATTCTAGAATGGATTCTACTCTGGAACTGCTTCTTGATTATTTCTTGTTGCATCTCTTTCAGTGTAAAATGGAACCTTTGAAACTCAGGTGTTGCATCAACAAAGTCAAGAAGGTAGTCCAAACTCTTTCTTATAGCAGATAACTTAAATTCAGCAGTCTGCTCCTCAGCTCCCGCTCTTTGAACAACTTCCTTTGTAATTCCACCTTTTGTTTTCAGGGGGCTGCCCTTTTCTTCATCCCCATTTAACCACACCCTATCGTCATCCAGCTTGGTTTCCAACTCCCCACATTTCTCAAGAATTTCTCTATAATCTCCATCTTCTAAGCCTTGAAGATCATATTCAGGTTCCTTTTTGTAAAGAAGATTTTCCCATGCATTTGCTATGGTTATTTGTTTTACTTCATCCCAACTCTTTGCCCAGTTAAAAATTGCACTTTTTATGTTGTAGATTTTAATCTTGGAAACTCCTTTTTCTCCTTTATCTTGCTCATCATCACTTTCTTCAAAAATTACAAGACTCTCCTCAAGTTGCTTCCACCTGTAAAGTCGTTTGCAGCTCAAGATCACACCCTGATTCATTGGTTGAATCAAGGTTGAAGTGTCATGGGGAAAGAACATGCATTTTATTCGACCATCCTCACTGGTTAGTGAGTCAGTGGAAGGGTGAACTGGAGAATTGTCCAGAAGTAACAAGGCCCTGACATCCTCCTCATGGAATCTTAGAACATTAACTTGAAAGTGCTTGACCTCAGGAATAAAGTTTTGAAAAAACCATTCTGAAAACGATTCTCTGGTGAACCAAACATCTTTACTAGGTTTGTATATCACAGGTAATGTACATGTGTCCTCTTTTACACTTCTGGGCAGCTTTGATTTTCCAATAATAATTGACTTTAACTTATGAGTACCATCTGCATTTGCACATAAAAGAGCAGACAATTGTTCTTTGTTTATTTTCCTCCCTGGCAGGCAGATATCTTTTCTGCTTGCCTGAGTATTTTCTGGCATTGACTTCCAAAAGAGGTCAGTCTCATCCCCACTGTACAGCTGAGCAAGACACAGTTTCTCCTCTTTGATAAGCATGGACAGTTTTTGTCGAAACGGCTCAACATTTTCTGAAGCTGAACGTAGGACTTGTTCCCCACATACTTTTCGGTTCCCAATTGCATGCCTATTTCGAAATCTAAAAAGCCAACCAGTGCTAGCTTTGAAGTCTGTTCGCCCAAAACACTGTGCAAATCTCTCGGCAGCAGCCTGAAGCTCCACACCTCTCACAGGGACACCAGCTGAGCGTTTCTGTTGGTACCACATGTAGACTGCATCATCCACGTCACCATATTTGGCTCCTGTTGTTCTCTTTCTCTTCTCAGCTCCTACTAATGGCATGTCCTGCTTCAGTACAAAGTCCAAAATCAATTTCTTGTTCTTTTTAATGTCATAAAATGTTGATTTACTGATTCCAAATTCATCCATTACACTTTTAAGAGATCGTCCCGCTTCAATCCTACTTAGAACCTTCATTTTCTCCTCCAAATTCAGTGTTGTATATTTCCCTCTCTTATTCATACTGAATTTGGTTTCAGGCAATCAACAGGGGTAAAAAGGAAAAAGCATTACTGAATTGGAAAAAAAAATTAAAAACGAAACAACTCCCCATCCCCCCAACTAGCACAATGCCCCCCCCAGAAGGCATAGGAATTTATACTGAAGGGTAATGGGCTAAAAAGGATAAGGGCTCATGATTGAAATGCTAGTCTAGAGGTAAAGGTCTGAACTCAGAAAGTTGCCACTGCAAGGTCCGGTCTAGTTGTTGCTCCTGCAAGACATGGATGGTGTCTTCAGAACCCCCCTTCTGAATGTTTTTTCTTCTCTCCCTTGACAGATGCAGCAGCACCAGTCAGGAGTAACAGGAATACCTGCATACTCTCCCTAACTGATTACAGGAAAAGACACAAAAGGAAGAGAGGAGGTGAGATGTGCTCACAAGCGGGACAGACTCAGGTAAGATAAATCTCAATAAAAAGTGGTGCTTCACAAGGGAGTGTGAAAGCCTTAAAGGCAAGAACAGAATAATATTGTGTAACAAAGATACAGTGTGGCTTCTCTTCCAAAACAAGCTGATTTTACCTCACTGCCAGAAAGGAAAATGGTGCTCATATTGCTCTGCATGTAGTGTTTGCTGGGCAGCAGTCCATCCACCTGGATAAATACTCCAAGCTACCCTGACAGTGGGATGTCTAGAGAGTTGGAATTCGGGAACAGTTGTATCTTTCAGTGAAGAAGAAAGTTAGTGGGTTCTGTTGTCCATATGAATGAAATCCAACTTTTACTGCATTCAATACAGCATTCTCAAAGACTAAGCTTTAACTTGAGTGTTTCTTATGTTTACCAAGGTAATCTGTAAGTACATAAATAATGTATTTGTTACTGGCACTTTTCCACTCTCAGATCTTCTTCCTTGTGTACATCTGATGTATTCTCAAGTGTTATATTCCACTGAATTGTTCCATATTTGGGATATTATCAAGTTTCAGAATCATGGCAATTCTTAGAGATGAGTCCAAAAGTTTTATAAAAATTTTACAGTAGTTAAAAAAGTATTAAAAAGATCTGTCCTTGTGATTCTTTTCCTAAATTTACACTTAGTGTTAAGTAACATACTTTTTATATTTGAGACTTTATCTGATTTCTCTTCATTATAGATTTTACTTAATTTGACCTAAGACTCAATTTTTCCATTGCTTGAAGAAATTTTAAAGGTTTCTCTATTGGTGATTCTGATCACTTGTTTCCCATAAGTCCTTCTGTTGGCAAACTCTTCCATAGCTCTGCACCCTCAAATATTCCTTTCAAGTCCTCCTGGTGCCACCCAGTGCCATTCCATGTCTGTAGAAATGTCCTACTCTAGATTAATTTCATGGTTCTTATTCCAGATACACAACCTCATGGGAAGTAACAAAAACTGCCACTTTTATCCATTCCAGGTGCTATGAAGAAAGAAAAGTATGTCAGAGAAATGAGAAAAATGGTATTTCAGTTATTTTTCCTCTCCTTTAGGGCAGAGCCCGACTGACTTTCATTCATTTCTCAACTACACAGAATTCTCAAAAGCCTCTCACCTAGAAACCCAGAAGTGTCCAGACCATTAGTTTTCCTCTAACATTTGTTGCAAAAAATGTCAACTGCTTTACAGAGTACTGAGGATCATGAAAGTACGATAGTTAATAGGGTATGGAGCCAATGACAGGCTAGGATCAAGCAACCTTCTAAAAGAGGCAGCTCTAACTAAGGCAATTACTATTATAAATGGAAAAAGGAAAAAGAAAGTGTTTGTTAGCCAGTAGCAGCACCATTAAAGCAGCCAGTCACACAGCAAAACCATTCAGCCCACTATGGCAGTTGTGTGGTATCTCAAAATAAACTGCATGTGTTTGCTTTCATTGCTTTCCAGCTGGACATTCATTATTTCTCAAACTGTGCCCAGGCAGGGAAAGGTGAAATCAAAAGGAAAGACTTGGGGGACTTTTGTGGGCTCCACAGCAAGGGTAAGGAACTATGGCACCAAACTTTAAATGATGACAATCATCAGTGACCCTCATTCACAATTCACCATTTTGTGCCTTGCTTCCTCTTCTTCCTTTCATAGGGTCTCTTTTCCCACTTTCTTCTCCCCTTGTTCACTAACCAGCTCCCTACCTATGTTATGAATCAGGCCTGCCAATTCAGGGGCACCACTGGCAGAACTCCATTTATTCAGTTCAAGTTCCAATTATATGCTCAGCCTTGGTCCAGATGATGAGGATCTCAATGCTAAGAGCTTTACTGCCCACTGGTTCTGACTGGAAGCAGTAGTTACTTCTTCTTTTTTTTTTTATCACATATAATTCTTTATTCCTGCATAGTCTAATTTTATTTTATTTTTATTTATTTTTAACATCTTTATTGGAGTATAATTGCTTTACAATGGTGTTAGTTTCTGCTTTATAACAAAGTGAATCAGCTATACATATACATATATCCCCATATCTCCTCCCTCTTGTGTCTCCCTCCCACCCTCCCTATCCCACCCCTCTAGGTGATCACAAAGCACCAAGCTGATCTCCCTTCTCCCTGGAGCTATGCGCTGCTTCCCAGTAGCTAGCTATTTTACATTTTGTAGTTTATAGAAGTCCATGCCACTCTCTCACTTCATCCTAGCTTACCCTTCCCCCTCCCCGTGTCCTCAAGTCCATTCTCTACATCTTTATTCCTGTCCTGCCCGTAGGTTCTTCAGAACCATTGCTTTTTTTTTTTTAGATTCCATATATATGTGTTAGCATATGGTATTTATTTTTCTCTTTCTGAATTACTTCACTCTGTATGACAGACTCTAGGTCCATCCACCTAGAGTGGATTTACAAATAAATCAATTTCGTTTCTTTTCATGGCTGAGTAATATTCCATTGTATATATGTGCCACATCTTCTTTACCCATTCATCTGTCAATGTACATTTAGGTTGTGGAAGTGGTAGTAACTTTTGAAGAAACTAAGTCCCAACCTGAGATTCTAAGAAAATGAACCTGCTTTGAAATATATTCAAGTGACTTAGCCAGATGCTTTTTTTTTTTTTTTTTTTGGCTCCGCTGCGCAGCTTGTGGGATCTCAGTTCCCTGGCGGACAGAACCGGTGTCCCCTGAAGTGGAAGCACAGAGCCCTAATCACTGGACTGCAAGGGAATTCCCGTCAGATGCTTATTATTATCACCTCTGCTTAATCCTTTTCTCCCCCTCAAAAAGGATCAAGATCTATGCCTCAGAGGAGTGTAACACCAGTCTACCTAAAAGCAAAAATAGCATAATGACCTTGTAATGGTCTTCCATTTTTGTTCCCACCTTAAAACTCAGCTCCAGATGAACTGCCCTGGAAAGAAGCTCCCTCAAAAACCCTCAAATGATGCTCTTTATTTACTTTATTAAATGCAATCTCTTCATTTCTATTCCAAGCGCTCCATAGTAGATCCACAAGAACTTATTTTCTAACTCTCTTTCTCTAAATGTACCCGAATTACATTTAGTAAAAAAAAAGTACTACAGATTTTCTCACATGCTCATCTCTGAAGCTTTCAAGGCTTTGCTCTTACCTTACCCTCTGCCTGGAATGTGGCCCCACTCCCTGCTGTGGGCAAATCCCTCAAGGATTTTTATAATTTTCCCCAACCCCCAAATCGACTTTCATTTCCTTGTAATTCCCACGGCGTTCAGCTTATGTCTTACCCTTTCCTACCTTGTGTTGCTGATACTTGTGAAATTGCCTCAGTCCTTTTGCCAGATCCTTTGAATCAAAGGCTCTGTCCTATCGACTCTATAACACTGGCTACACATAGTAGACTTAATAATCCCTTGACTAGTATAGGCTGACACCATGAAAACACTGAAAACTGTAAATACTGGAAGCCCACAACCGAAATACTCAGATTCTTATAAACATGATTCAGTAAATATTTATGGAATGCCTACCTTACCCAGGCAACTCTACCAGACACTACAGGACAAGATGAAAAGAAGGTTCCCGTGCTCCAGGGAGCATGCTGTGGTGGAAAAATCAGAAGACAGGACAAAGGGGCCCTAAATTCTACTGGAGGACCTGCCACTGGTGAATTATGTGACCTCGATCAAGTCACTCCTTACCTCTCAATTCTCTGTCAAGGAGATCTTTAAAAGGAACCTATTTCATAAGTAAAAACCTACCTCAAAAGAAAAAACAGAATGGTGTGTGCACGCACGGCCCAGAAATGAGTACACACCCCTCAGGGGCCGTCGATCCTGACCGGGACAAAACGGCCTCGTACTGTAGGAGGCTGCGACAGAGCCCTGGCCGGCAGCTTGGGCACGGCCGACTGAGCCGCGGTAAGGTCGGGAGCCCAGCGCACGGAAGGGAACGGTGACGCTCAGGGCGGGGCCCGGGTCACCAGGCTCTGCCGGCAGCCAGAACACGACACAGGAAAGACCTGGACGCACGCGCCCCACAGAGCTGGGACGCGAGACGGCGACACAAGGGCGTCAAGCCGCGCGCAGGACCCTCTAGGCTGGGCGGGCCTGGGTACTCGGTGGCCTTAACTCTTTCTTGCCGCCAGGGCTGAACCCGGGAGGAGGGCGGTCACCCAGCGCGGCCTGGAGAGGCGGCGCTCATGGACCCAGCCAGGGCTGAGCGGGTCCTCCCCGGAAGTGCGTCACTTCTGCCTCCGGTTGGAGCGCGGGTAGCTGCGCAGGGAGGATTTCAGGTCGGCTAACGGGGCCAGGTGGGTCTAAATAGTGACCGGCCTGCGCTCCCAAACCCCGGGGCCTCGGGGGCCCGCCCCTGAGTGGCGCGTGGCGTGGAGCGGTCCTCCTTAGAGCGGTGGCCAGACCGGCGGCAACTTGTGGTAGAGCCCCGGGAAGAGGGAGCGGCCTTCACGAAGCCAAGCCGTCCGAGGTAACCTAGAAGCGGCTTCCGCTTCGGCGCCGGCCCCGGAGCCTCCGAGAGACTCTGGCCGCTGGTCGGGGCCGCTGCGCAGCGGCCGGTGGTGTTTCCGAGCCGGGCGACAGGACTGTCTGGGGCGAGGCCCGCCGTCAGGCTCGTGAGGCCGCTTTCTCCAACATTTGTGCGGGTGGCGCCCAGGGCCGCGCGGCGGGAGCCCGCTTGGACACTGCCCGCAGGTACAGTGCTCGCGGGCGCGCCCGGGCGGTCGTGTTCACTTTCCCGCCTCCGCCGGCGTTTTCTTTACTGGCTGATGTTACTGCGGGAGAAACGGGCGGTCCAGCCTCAGTCAGATCAACTTCCTCTGATGCAAAAGCCTGGGAAGTGTCCCCAGCACCTCAGAGCCGTCGGGAGCCGGCCGTTTGTGAACACCGTGGCTTCCTGGGCAGAATTTCGGTGCCCTTTCTGCTGGATCACCTCAGGGAAAGTGAGCCTCACGAGGCTCTCCAAAGCCTCGCTTATAGGTCTAAATGAGCCCTGGAGAAATGTAGCAGCTGAATGTAATCATGACCAACTAACATGCTGTCCTTTTTCTTCCAATTGACATTTGGATAAACATTTTGTGAACAAGGATCAGCTGTAATTTTTCCTAGGTCAAGTAACGAGAAATTAAAAATACAGGTATAGGACTTACCTCGTGGCACAGTGGTTGGGAATCAGCCTGCCAATGCAGGGGACACAGTTCTAGCCCTCATCCAGGAGGATCCCACGTGCGGCGGAGCAGCTAAGCCCATGGGCCACAACTGCTGAGGCTGCGCTCTGGGGCCCGCGAGCCACAACTACTGAAGCCGGAGCGCCTAGAGCCTATGCTCCTCAATGGGGCGTGGCCTCAGTCGTTGCAACTAGAGAAAGCCCACGCGCAGCAGCGAAGACCCAACACAGCCCTACATACATACATACATAAATAAATGAATTTGGAAAGAAAAGGAAAAATACACATATATACATCTTCTGCGTGGTGCTCTTTATATGTCTTGCAAAGAAATGTCAAGACAAATGTAGAGCAACTAGTTACTTAATTGGGGGTTGCTTTTGAGAAGAATAAGGCTCCATTTTTCTGAATTACTTTTCTTCTACTCTGGTCTCATTGTTTCAGCTCTCCTGCCAATTTTCATACAATGGAAAGGAGCACCTCAAATGGTCCAGGAAGTGAAGGCTTCCATCTTCCCAAAAGGATAAAGGTCATAGAAGTTGTACCCTCTTACTGAAGACAGACTAGGACGATATGTTGAAATTTAAGAGAAACTCAGAATATTCTCCTGATCTTTCCTTTACACGGAGAGGATGGCATAGGAAGTGCATCAATTAAATCTTTGGATAATCCCCAAACTCCTTGGAGCCAGTGGGTACTAGTTTTTTCACCCACCAACTTTTCCTGATTTTTTTTTTTTTAAGGCAAAGTGATTTATTGGCATTTGTCTTTAATAAGCTGTGCTGTATTCAGCTGAATAATAGAAAGAAAAGGAGAGAAACAAGGGCCTGGCAGTTGATTCTTTTTTTTTGGCAGTTGATTTTTAAAGTTCATGTTTCTCTCATAATAAGTAACAAGTAGTAAAGTTCGTGTGACTTTCTTACTGACATGCACTTTTTTCTGCCCTCAATGCCTTAGGAAGAAGATCCTTTTATTGATTTTGTTCCAGACCAGACTGGGCCTCAGTTGTCAGAGGTAGTGCTGGAGGTGTGTCCAATACAGGAGCCAAATTGTTCGAGAAGAATGATGACCATAGATCTGAAGGTGGCTGAGTACTTGAACCCTCAAATCAGGACTCTGTGGGAGACCAAGGGACCTGTGACAGGGAGCTCCAGTCAGCATAAGAAATATGCCCCCCAAACGGACAGTCCCAGTCCTGAGAGGTCTCACCAGCACTTCCGGAGCTTCCTCTATCATGAAGCAGCTGGACCCCGTGAGGCTGTTGACCAGCTTCTGGAATTATGCCGTCGGTGGTTGAGGCCAGAGATTCATTCAAAAGAGCAGATCTTGGAACTTGTGGTGCTAGAGCAGTTCCTGTCCATTCTGCCCAGGGACACCCAGACCTGCATAAAGAAGCACCATCTACAGAGCATTGAGGAGGCTGTGGTCCTGGTAGAACACTTGCAGAGGGAATCTGGTCAAACGAGGAATGGGGTGAGAAGAAAGATTCTTCATGTGTGCAGTGAAACAGGGTGATGGTGGATGTATTGGGGCAATTAATTGAGAAATAAAGTAAAACAGGTAACTTCTGTTGTCCCTTTAGGACATGTAAAGCAGAATGTGAAAGCACAGATCCACAGCCATAGTCACTGCATATGATTCAGAGATCCTGAGAGAGGCTTCCCTGGCCTTAGGGAGAGAGTTGCTTTTTGCCCTCTTTGGAGCCAGGGTGTGTTGAAGGTAATGAGCCTACTCTGGCTTGGCGAAGGAGATGGGCCTCAAGTTCTTAGAAACAAAAGGCAATAAGGAGTTGGAGAGGAAGGGACAGATCCCAAAAAGGAGTAATTCTCAGAGACCAAAGGAGAGTGAAGATAGGAAAGAGAAGGAGAAACCAAAAAACTAGAGGAAGACTGCCCAGGAAGAGAAAAAGTAGAAAGAAAACAGGGAAAGAAAGATTTGGCAATCCCAACAGAGTAGCAGAGAGAAGAAAGAGCGTGAGGGATAGTGTCCTCTGTACCGTAGACAAGGGCCTCCACTGCCTTCCCTCAGTGGTTGTTCCTTGGCTGTGCTGTGAGTGGGGATCCAGGGCATGCCCTTGGGCAGGTGGCAGCATACCATCTAGCTTCACAGGCCTACTGAGAATACCGGGAGGGCACACGTTTTGTGTCAAAATCATTTGGGGATAGGTTGGAGCCCTGACCCTCGTTTTTTTTTTTTTTAATTTACTTTTGGCAGCATTGGGTCTTCATTGCTGTGTGTGGGCTTTCTCTAGTTGTGGTGAGTGGGAGCTACTCTTCGTTGCGGTGCACGGGCTTCTCATTGCGGTGGCGTCTCTTGTTGTGGAGCACAGGCTTTAGGTGCGCAGGCTTCAGTAGTTGTGGCTCTTGGGCTCTAGAGCCCAGGCTCAGTAGTTGTGGTGCACGGGCTTTGTTGCTGTCTGGCATGTGGGATCTTCCTGGACCAGGGCTCAAATCCATGTCCTCTGCATTGGCAGGCAGATTCTTAACCACTGCGCCATCAGGGAAGCTCAGAGCCCTGGCTCTTTCCTCCCACATTTTTCTCCATTTCATCCCAATCCTCTGTGAGACTCTTCCCTGGCCGTGTGGAAAATCTGGCTGACAGGACAACTTTTAAATTCAATTCCTTTATCTTTTGAGAGAGAAGACAGAAAATCACTAAGGCAAGAATCTAAGTTGAGAGAGAAAGTCTGTCAAGGCAGCATGACAACAGGTGGCCTGTGCAGCCCTGTTAGTGGTCTGAGCTGGGCTGGATGCAGAGGGTGGGGGCTGCTGTCTTGGAGGGCTGGCAGTAACCACACCTTTTTTCCTCTTCTGCCAATTTTCCTATATTTTGTGTATAGTTCTTGTGGAAAATTGGTGGTCCTGTATCTCTTTTAAGTCTTTGTGACATTTCCTTTAGTGTTTCCTTCTTCCCACAGTTTGCACTCTGCTTTTTCCTCCCTCTCCCACCAACTCCCAAACCAAAAGTAAGTTCCATGGTAACAAGGATGGGCATTATTTCTAGGTTGCAGACCATGAGCTGGGAAAGGAGGCAGTGCTCTTGGGAGAGACAGCAGAGGCCCCAGGCTTCAAGCTGAAGCCAGCAGAGGCCCAGCAAGTGGGCATGTCCCAGGATGAAGAATTTTGGAATACACACCAGAGTCTACAAGAGCTGCTGATCAGGAATAGCCACAAAGACACTGAGCCCGTATGTGAGAGGGGTAAGGAGCTTCATGTTACTTTCCTTCTCTTGGGAGCTGCAATAGTAAGTTAAGCCAGAACACGTGAGCACTTTCTGGTTGCCCTGCCCTGTGGATCTACTAATGCAGCCACGTTAGCTATTAGGATGCCCCCCAGGTTATGGTAGAACAGACCAGGTGTGGGTGAAGGTGGGGGTTGGCCTAAGATACAGAAATCTCCAAACCACAGAACCCTGTTAATAACACTGGGAACTCAGTTTTTTACACTTGATCTTAGCCAAAAGGCTGAGAAGCGATTGGAACTCAGTTTTTTAGAAAAGTGGAGAGGGTTGGGCCCACCTTGTCCTCATAAAATACAGAAGGAATTGGGATCAGAAATCAGTTGTCAGTGGCGGAATGTGAAGAAAATAGTGTACCAGGAAAGAAGTAATAAATGATTAAAATCTCCTACTGTATACTGGAGTCCCTGAGTATGTCATTTTCAAATATGTTTAAGTTTTGTCTAACTCCAAACAATTTGTGTCATGAGAGGAAAATAAAAAGGGTTTTTCCTTTTGTTAATTTTGCTCATGAAAACTGGGGAATCTGTTTAGAGGCTGGTAGATACTTGGTTCTCATTAACAAGGAGAAGGCCATTTCTGGGCACCATACACTTGTAAAGGTGTCTCATCAATACTGAAAAACTCAAGGTCTTCTGTATTTTAGAAATGAGCCTAGGATATTCAGAAACAGAAGCGAGAGAGATTTCCTGTGGCTCTCCTTCACCCACAGCGGTGTCTGCTCACCGGATCCTAGCCTTTCCTGAGCAGACAAACACCAAAGACTGGACAGTGGCACCTGAGCTCATCTTGTCTGAGTCCCAGGTGAGCTGTGCTTTCCAGCTTCTTAGGGCTGCCTTTCCCTGCTGCCCTTGACCCGCGCTCCCCAGCAGGTGTTCAGAGCTGTTAGTCCAGATGTTCCCCACGATTTGGGGCACTTGTTTGTTGATCCCTTGCCTCCTTCCTTTCTGCCTTCTCACTTTTTAAAAATCAAATGCTGTTAGTTCCTTTTGTGACTGGCTTACCATGCAGTTGATGGCTCAGAAGGTTGGGCTGCTTTTGAAGTGGCAGGTACTGAGCTAAAGCCCATTTTCTTCTCTAGAGTTTGTTGACATTTGAAGAAGTGGCCATGTATTTTTCCCAAGAAGAATGGGAGTTACTGGATCCCACTCAGAAGGCCCTCTACAATGATGTAATGCAAGAAAACTATGAGACTGTCATCTCTCTAGGTAAAGATTCTCCCCTTCCCTTTGCATAGGAGTGGAGTAATCTGTCCTGTTGTTGGCGTACTGAGAATGCACCCCTGTGAGAGAGTCTCTGTTCTAGTAGCTGACTGGTTCTCAACTAGATGGTGTGGGCAGGGCAAAGGTATATCCAGAACACCAGGGAGCTTTTTCCCAGTGCACATGATCATTCCTTATCCTAAATCTTGATCCTTCCTGCCTTCTTTCCCTCCAGATTGCTCTTCTCTTAACTTTCCCATCTCCACAAAGGACACCACGATTCACCCAATATTTTAGCCCAGAAAACTGGGTCATCCTTTACACCGATCTTATCAAACCCCAGTAGTACTACTGCATCACTAGTCCTCTTGGCTCCACCTTCACCGTGTAGCCTGAGTCCAACCAAGTCTCAGCCTGCTGTGCTTTAGCATCGTGGTGTAAGCCAGTGGCATCTCTAACAAGGTCCACCTCAGTACTTTTCTATCTGGCACCCCCTGCCACCATTCCTCCCCTCCCGCAGGCTGTTTTCCACACAGCACAGCCAGAATCTTTTAAAAACTGGATCATATCAGGACACTTCTCTGCATCAAAACCTTACTGTGACTTTTCACACATTCAGAATGAATCCAAACTCCTTGTAGAGGCACCCAGGACCCCCCAAATTCTGGCCCCTCCTCACCTTCCTGCCCTCATCTCCTGCCACTCCTGCCCTGCTCAGTCCTCTTTAGCCACACTGGTCTTCTTGCTGTTTCTTTTTTTTTAATATATAAATTTATTTATTTGTTTGTTTTTGGCTGCGTTGGGTCTTCATTGCTGCATGCGGGCTTTCTCTAGTTGCTGCGAGTGGGGGCTACTCTTCGCTGCAGCGCGTGGGCTTCTCATTGCTGTGGCTTCTTGTTGCAGAGCCCAGGCTCTAGGCCCGCGGGCTTCAGTAGTTGTGGCGCATGGGCTCAGTAGTTGTGGCTCGCGGGCTCTAGAGCACAGGCTCAGTAGTTGTGGCGCGTGGGCTTAGTTGCTCCATGGCATGTTGGATCTTCCTGTACCAGGGCTCAAACCCGTCTCCCCTGCATTGGCAGGCAGATTCTTAACCACTGCGCTACCAGGGAAACCCTTCTTGCTGTTTCTTGAACTCACCAAGCTCATTTCTCCCTTTGCATTTCCTTTACTTGGCACACTGGACTCAGTACTACATTTTCCAACACCTCTAATTTTTGTCCAACTCAGGGGAATTCATGTCATGTAAGGAAAAAAAACAAGACTTCCTTTTATTGACTTCACTCATGAAAACTGAAGAGAGTCAACTGGGAAACCCATCTTAGGGGTTAGTAGATGCTTGATTCTTGATTAAAATGAGATAGCCACTTCTAGGTACCACATAACACTTGTAAAGTGTTCCATTTCTACTGAAAGATCAGGATCTTCTATATTTCAGAACTGAGCCTAGGATGTTCAAAGACAGAAGGGAGAGAAATTTCCTCTCACTCTTCTACAGCGGTGCCTGCTCACCAGATCCTAGCCTTTCCTGAGCAGACAAACACCAAAGACTGGACAGTGACACCTGAGCTCATCTTGCCTGAGTCCCAGGTGAGCTGTGCTTTCCAGCTTCTTAGGGCTACCTCTCCCTGCTGCCCTTGACCCACACTGCCCAGCAGGTGCACAGAGGTGTTAACCCACATGATCCCCCTCAGGAACTGGGCACCTCCCAGGCTATTTGCTGATCCCTTACCTACTTCCCTTCTGCCTTCCCACTTAAAAAAAAAAAATGTGCTGTTAGTTCCTTTAGTGACTGGCTTACCATGCAGTTGATGGCTCAGTCGGTTGGGCTACTTCTGTAGTGGCAAGTACTGAGCTAAAGCCCATTCTCTTCTTTAGAGCTTGTTGACATTTGAAGAAGTGGCCATGTATTTTTCCAAGGAAGAATGGGAGTTACTGGATCCCACTCAGAAGGCCCTCTACAATGATGTAATGCAAGAAAACTATGAGACTGTCATCTCTCTAGGTAAAGATTCTCCCCTTCCGTTAGCATAGGAGTGGACTAATCTATCCTGTTGTTGGCGTACTGAGAATGCACCCCTGTGAGAGAGTCTCTGTTCTAGTAGCTGACTGGTTCTCAACTAGATGGTGTAGGCAGGGAAAAGATCACCAGGGAGCTTTTTCCAAGTACACATTCCTTACACTATTTGGAATTCTTGATCTCTTCTTCCCTCCAAACTTGCCCTTACATCTTGCTCTTATCATCTCCATAAAAGGAATACCCACTCATCCACTTGCTCAGAGCAAGAAACATCCAGTCATCCTTTACTTGATCTTGCCATAATACCCCACTAAGTCTAATACATCACTACACTCTTCAGTGTAGCCTGAATCAGATCATGTCTCAGCTTATTGTGTTAGCATCCTGGTCTCAGCCAGCAACATCTCTATCAAGGTCCACCTCAGTACTTTCTAACTGGCACCCACTACCACCACTCCTGCCCTCTCAGTCTGTTTTCTACATGGCAGCCAGAGTCTTTTAAAAACCTGATCAGATCATGACATTTTCTACTTCAAAACCTTGCAATAACTTCTCATAAGGTTCAGAATAAATCCAAGTTTCTTACCAAGGCTCTCAGGACCCTCCAAAATCTGGCCCCTCCTCACCAGCCTGCTGTCATGTCCTGCTACTCGTGCCCTTGCTCAGCCTCTTTGTTCTCACTGCTCATCTTGCTGTTTCATGGACTTGATATGCTCATTTCTTTCCCCTTCTCTCTGCCTGGCCCACGTTTCTGCCACATGGTAAAATTCTCATTTTAGGGTTCTGCTCAGATACCACTTTCTAAAAGAGGCTTTTCATACAGCCTTATCTAAAATATCTTCACAGAAGCAGAATCTTAAATGTTCTCTTACCCTGCTTTAGTTTTCTTCAAAATATTTATCACTTCCTGACATTTTATTTGCTTTTTTATTAATGTTAGATTGTCTCACTCTGCACTAGAAGATAAGCTCTGTGAGATCAAGGGGCTTGGCTTATTCACCACTGTATCCCTAGCACATAGAGGGTGTCTGGTGCACCATAGCCACTCAGCACATATGTATTGAATGACTGAGTGATGAATACTTTCCATACTTGGCAATATGATTTAGAGAAAGTCCACTAAGTAATTCTGGTCTGTTTCCTCCACCTGGATGTGAACCAGTGAGCTATGGGAATGGTAGAAATCTTTCCTGGTCCAGTGTCTAGTACCTGAGATCTAAATTGAAAGTTGCTATAGTATAACAGGAATCACTTGTGTTTATGATACCCAGCCCACTGCCCTTCACATTGACTCCCCTAGACTTGGCCTTATCCAGTATGAGTCTTCCTAAAGACTTAGTAGGACCAGGTATAATTCCTACAGCCTTTGCAGTTTGGTCCTACCTTAGTAGAATATGGGGTATTCTTGGTAGCAGAAGATGGGGATCATGCACTGGATTCCCATGCCCTATATCCTTTTCATTGGTCTAGCTTAGGTTTATTTCTCAGTCTCTACTTTGCATATCCACCCACAAATGAAGTATGTTATGAACCTGATACCAGATATGAGTCTATCCATTTAGCCATTTGGTGTTGTAAACTGTTAAAGTATCCTTTGCTTTTCCTGAAATAGTCTGGAATTAGTGGACTATTGTTGTTACCAATCCTTGACCTCAGTTTTTCCATTTCACAGCATTATTTGTGCTCCCCAAACCTAAAGTGATCTCCTGTCTAGAGCAGGGGGAAGAGCCGTGGGTTCAAAGCTCCCTGGAGTTCAAGGACAATTCTGGAGAGCTGCCTACAGGTAAGTACACCATGGGAAGAAAGGAAATGTGCCTTAATAGGAACTTTTACAAGGGCTTAACATTTTACACTTCTGCTTTTTTAAAAAATTAGTGTTCATCCAGTTTTTCTCTTCATTACTGTGGCTTTCTTGCTCTGTCATATAGTTAGCTGTTTCTTACGTTTATTCCAGCAGGGCTAAAGCTCAAAAATGACACTGAAGATCTTCAGCCTCTATGTCTTTCTGACTTAGAAATACAAGCACCAGTAGATATAGCATCAAAAAAGGCCAGATTGAAAGTCCCCCAGAAAACAATGGGCAAAGAAAATCATGGTGATATGCATAAGGTGGGGAAATGGCACCGAGATTTTCCAGTGAAGAAAAAAAAGAAACTTTCAAGCTGGAAACAAGAGCTGCTGAAACTTATGGATCTTCACAAAAAAGAACGTGCAGGAGAGAAGCCTTTTAAATGCCAGGAATGTGGGAAAAGCTTCAGAGTTAGCTCTGACCTTATTAAGCACCAAAGAATTCACACTGAAGAGAAACCATATAAATGTCAGCAGTGTAATAAGAGGTTTAGGTGGAGTTCAGATCTTAATAAGCACTTAACAACACACCAAGGGATAAAACCATATAAATGCTCATGGTGTGGGAAAAGCTTCAGTCAAAATACAAATCTCCACACACACCAAAGAACTCACACTGGAGAGAAGCCCTTTACATGTCATGAATGTGGAAAAAAATTCAGTCAAAATTCCCACCTTATTAAACACCGGAGAACTCACACAGGTGAGCAGCCTTATACCTGTAGCACATGCAGGAGAAACTTCAGCAGACGCTCAAGCCTTCTTAGACACCAGAAACTCCACCAGTAAAGGGAAACTTGTTCAGTGTCCTCAGTCTGAAGAAATTCACCAAGTGGAGCTGGACCTTAAAGTTATGAAGAGTACAAAATTATGAAGCATGAAGAAATTTTCATCAGTGGAATTTTTCATCAGGAAACTTTGGGAAATAAACATGTTTCACAGAAGGAATCAAGGTTGAGTCTGCAGGGAATGTGTTAGTAGTTGTACTACTTGCTGTTTTTACTAAAACTTTCAGGGATTTCCTTAGCAGGAGAGGTGTTCTAAGAACATTCAGAGTAAAGGGAAAAGCTGTTTTGGGACTGTATTTGGCAAAATAGCAAACTCAGCTTCAAATAGTGGATGCAGCCATGCATTCTTCTGTGGTCACAGAGGTGAATATTGTTGGTTTGCATTGATTTCCCCAGCCACTCTTAAACATACATGTTAGAAACATTTGTAGCATGTCTTCCAAAACAGAAAGCAATAATATGTTTAATTGCATACCATTGTCTTCCAGGTTTACCAATTTCAGTAATCTCATGGGCAGAAATGAATTCTAATGTAAAATTTTTGAAGAACCGAATTGGATTTTCTTAACTGTCCCATCATCGGGTACTGTTCACAAATTTGGACATTGTTTGAGTTCCTTTTTTAACTTTTTAGCAAATTCAGCTCTGGAATACTATTAGTACAGTTTTTACTGTGATGAAATCATATTTACTTCACCAATAGGGAATCTGCCCGGGTGAACTAATCACTATTGTATGCCTTTCTGGTGGTGGATGGAAAAGGGAGAACACCTCTAAGAAGGAGATAATATGGAAACGGGTTGGAATCTTTAGCCATGTAAAGAAGAATTTTCTCGAGTAAAAGAAACTAGACTGTTTACTTACATCACAATATCAATAGGATAAAACAGCCATAAAAATGAGCACTTTTCCAAGGTCTAAATGGAAATTAATGGCAATTCAGGATCACATTCTCAGGTTTTTATCTGTTTGCATTTTAACTTGGCTTTTGTATGTCATTAAGAACAAGGAGGGTTTCCCTGGTGGCGCAGTGAATGAGAGTCCGCCTGCCGATGCAGGGGACACAGGTTCGTGCCCCGGTCCGGGAAGATCCCATGTGCCGCGGAGCGGCTGGGCCCGTGAGCCATGGCCGCTGAGCCTGCGTGTCCGGAGCCTGTGCTCTGCAAAGGGAGAGGCCACAACAGTGAGAGGCCCACATACCGCAAAAAAAAAAAAAAAAAAAGACAAGGAGAGGGTTACATTTGTCTGGGAACTGGAGTGTTTACTGCACCAGGATCCTGTGGGTCACAGGGCATGTTACTCTGGGAATCCAGTGAGCAGGAGACTAGTTCCCAAAAGCAAAGATTTGGGAGAGGACGCTGAGTGGTAGGCAAGGACGGACAAATACACATCTATGTTGGTTGACTTACACTGTAACTGTTAAACAGGAAGGGTCATCCTTCTGTTTTCTCCATCGTATCATGTAACAGCCTTAGTGTACACATTTGATAGATTGCTGAAAATCTGTAGGCTGTGGATTTTCTTGTAGCTCCATTTTTCTATCTACAACAGTGTTGCAGGTGTGTTCCTGATAGAGCATCTAGGTGTAATCAGGAAAGGAGTTAAATAAGGAAATAAGAGATCGAGAGGCTTGTTAAGACCCCATAGCAGTGGGTCTGTTGGCTGTCACTTAGCTGCATCAGTCAGGCCTGAGGGCAGGATTAGCAGGACTGATCTGTATGTTGTCCCTGCCCAGCCAGCCTGGATGACTTTGTATTGTATCTATTTCTATTTCTAGCTTGTAAAACATTTCTGTTTCTTGATTGGTTACTAAAACACTCTTAAATCTCCAGTTTCCATATGAGATAGAGATAACACTCAACTCAGGGTTTTTCTGGGGATTAGAGGGGTTGATGAAGGAAAAGCACCTAACGGCTTGGGAAATAGCAGGGTCTCAGTGTGCGTGTCCTTCCCTTTCCCCTGGTCCCCAGTGGTATGTTGGGTGGACTGACTACATTAAAGGAGCAGATGCATTTCTGGCTGTTGCAGCTCCTTCCAGGAGCTGAGCACTCATGGTGGTGGTTTGCTCAGTTGATTTGGTCCTTGGCTTCAGTGCTTTATGGTGTAAGTCACCTGAGGTTTTTCTGCCACTGTCAGCAGAATTTCATTTTCTTCTCTAAGATAACTGTACCAGTATACCAGTGTGCCTATTTCTTAAGCTTAGCCAGCTCTGCAGCTCTGGTCTGCGTAGATCTTACCCAACAGTCTCAGCCTTACACCCCTGGGACTCTGTTTCTTCTCCCAAGTTATACATATGGATTTCTTGCTGACATTACATTCATTCATTCAATTTAATGAGGGCCTGTTATGTGCCCAGGTAGTCTTCTAAACTAAGGATATAGTAGTGGACAAGGAGACAAAATGCATATCCTCATGGAGCTTGTATCCTAGTGAACAGTAAGAAGGGAGTGGTTAGACTTTTTTCTCCTTGCAGTTAGACAGGATCCTGAGATAGTTTTGAGCAGTAGGTTGTCCGCAGAACTCTCACTTCTCAGCTTAAGCATTTATTTTTTGGTGCAGGACTCTCTAATGCTGTCTTTTCCTGTCTCAGTCATATAAGCACATACAGAGAGAGGGGTCACAAGT